TTTGGTGGACAGTGACTTTTTACGAGGTCTTTTAGATGGAATTTCAGCTTTTTAAAGATGCCTGTTGACTGTCTGCCTACAGACTCGAGCTCTTCCTAATCCAGGCCAGATGTTTTTCAGTTGTTTGGCCGACATGAACTGGTTCTGGTGGCGTAGTTGAACCAAACATCTTTTAATTATTGCGTCAGTTAATCTCGGTCTACCAGAAAGAGGCTTGTCCAATACATGATGGGTTTGGCGACATTTTGCTACCAGCTTGGACACTTGACTTGGTGCTACTCTCTGTTGCCTTGCAATCTGTCTCTCTGGCACCCCAGCACGATGGTTTCCTATAATTTGCCTTCTGATTACCTCGATAAGTCTTCTTCTAGCCATTGTTTGGTACAATATAACAAATTGTGCCCATAAAACTAGCCAAACTGGAAGCTCCGCATGGCATGCACAAACTGTGTTTTTCACAAGTGGCACCCCTATTGCATATTCTACCCTGTTCAACAGTGAATAGTACTCAAATGGCACAGTCCACTAGTTCAAAGTAAGAACGAGAGACATGTTTGCCTCAATAAAAAGCTTGGTTGCTGAGTAAATTTGAGAAATTAGAAAGTGTTGCTTAACTTATGAGCATCAGTGTATATGAGGTTGTAGAAATATTAGTCTAGTGTTTTAATATGATTGCATTCAGCCAGAGCCCCTGTGGAGTTGGAGCAAGCTACATAGAATGATAGTTTCATTGGGAATGTGCTCTTAATCATAATAGTGGGCAAGTCTACTGCATTTGGTTTTGGGGAAAATTACCAACTGCTGCTTCTTTATTGTAGAAATGTTTGTAGAGGTTTGACTATGGTAATTAAGAGCTACTTATTTTGAGAACAATTTTTTTATGTATTACATTCATTGTTATGCTAACAAGAATTCTAATGGGGCCGTACGCTATTTCCTTTTCAGTTGGCAGAAGAAAAGGGATTAGAGTTATCAAATGTTATGGCTTTCATCACTAGACTGATGGACATTCAGTTTCTGAGATTTCAGCACCAACTAAAAGTCGCATTCTCTTTTGCTACGGACTCTTATGCATGCGCACAGAAACTACTGGTATTGTGTGCATGTGCATTGAACTTACAATTGCCCTTGCAAGAAACATCACAAGAATAACTATTTGAGTTGTGGGACTAAGCTTTTCTATCATCACACATATTTATATATTATAGAAATGTCACACACTGAGTGTGTTGTTAGTGTAGTTTATCTGTTTAGAATTGGATTGAGATTATTATCATGTTTTTATTCACTGAGATGAACCTTCAGTTGTTGTGTGTTTGTGTGTGTGTGTGTGTGTGTGGTAAATTAAGAACTTTCAAATGGCAAAGGAAACAGTGAAGGTTTTGAAAGCCAGCTTGGCATATATACGTACACTGTGCATGATGTCAGTCTGTAAACACTGACAAGTTGCGAAGGTTTTTTTTTTTTCAATATTTCCTGAAATATTCCTGATTATATACCAGGGTACATAAACAGTATCTTTTAAGAGTACTTATAATACTCAGTAAAAAAAAAATATATATATATAGTGAAAATTATGTATGAGATTTAGTTTGTTCACTTTGTTCACCTGGATGTCATGAATAGAATCATACTGTTCTGTCTTAAATGTCATGGAACACAATACTGCAGTACATTGACAACAGGCAATCTAAGGGTGTTTTAAGTGTGTGCCATCTTGGATCTGCAGCTAAGTTCTGAAAACCAAGAAAATGTAACCAAGGTCCTCTTCCATTATTCCATGTACCATTATTCAGGCAAAATGCCTGCTGTGAATTCAAAGATCCAAGTTTGTATATGATGTGAAGTCAAAATTTAAATATCAAATAAATATTCTTAATATTTCAATAATGTGTTTTTATTTGTTCCTTTTATGGATTAAATATTTATTATTTATAAAAACATTTTATTCAGAAAACTCACTCGTATCTAATGAAGTGAAAATAAAGAAATGTTTGCTTTCAGAAAAATTGATAAGATGGTAGTATTTGGTTGCTTGAAAAACATTTTAAAGCATATATGCATCTGATTTAAGGTTGCCTCTAAGTTCTGTTTAAGCGCATAAGTGAGCTTTTTTAAATTTTATAATTATAGCCAATCCTTACAGTTTTTGTTTTTTCATTCTGTTCCTTTTCTTTTATTCAGTGAAGTATTCAATAAATGTATAAATGCCTCAAATAGATCATTTAAGAGCCGCGTATCTTCTTTCCCGGGATGGGGAGGGTGGGGGGGGGGGG